ACAGAATACCTTTATTTTATTTACTTATTTTTATGTGGTGCTAAGGATCCAACCCAGCACCTCACACATGCTAGGTGAGCGCTCAACTGCTGAGCCATATCCCCGGCCCCGTAAGATTATTCTCTTAAAACATGGTGTTGTAGCTTATATTCTTTGAGGAGTTTTCTCCTTTTCTCTTCTTTGTTTTTGTCTTAAATCTTGGTAAATATGTTTTGAGGGTTATTGGGATTAGTATTTTCAGTTGATTTTTTCCAATAGTTATGCCACTGGGAAAATTAGTATTGTTATTATTATCATTATTATTATTATTAATCCCATCATTATTCAAGACTGATAATTCCCTTCTTTATATTTACTGTGATGCCTTTTAATTTGTACAGTAAATTCATTCCCATTCTCACACTGTTACTGTGCACTAAGTATTCTGTCACACAAGCATGTCTGTTATTGTCAACTGCTGTATTTTAACAATCTGACATTTTAGAAATGTTCCAGTGTTTAGTAATAAGGAGGTCCTCCCTCATTTCTTTTTTTCCTTCTAGAAGTTGTTCATCCTCTTCCTGACTATTGATTCCCTTCATATGAAATTATTTGTGGTATTTGATTGTATTTATTAATTCTCATAAGTAGCCTACATGGGAGAGAGCTACTATATTATTAGTATCCATCCACTTGAATTTGTTAACTTGTAAATTTATGCATGAGCCATTTTAGCATATTCTGTGCTTTGAAGAATTATTAGTTACAGTGAATTATAAGTAAACATGTTTTCCTGAGTGTTTGGGCAAATTAATATAACATTTAATTAGTATTTTAAGAGCTGTCCTGTTCTAAAACAGGAATTATTTAGAAAGTGGTAGATCATAGTCCTTTGTTGCCTTGTTTAAACTTTTTTTAAAAATAACCAAATTTGCAAATAAAACATAAGGTCTTTCCTTGAATCAGGTTCACATGTGTTAATGTGGAAGAGTGCTAAGATTACTAAATCTTCATTGTTCAACATCTGAGAAACAAGGGAGTTTTACCTGATTAATAAAAAAAAGCCACAGTAAAACCAGAAAATAGGGCCAATGTCTTAATAAATTACTGAACTTCCATTTGTGACTTCATTTGCTTAATTAAATTTATGGTAAATTTTTCAAAGTGATAATAGGAAGGATTTTGCAGACTCATACAGTTTAAAATAGAAAGCACATTCAATATTCCAGTACACAGAGATGCTATTTAATTATTTATAATTTCTCTTACATCATTGCTGTACCATTGTGTCTTTATTTAGTACTTTTGAATTTTCCATTTTAAAATTACTCAGCCTGTACCTGAGAGCACTTAGGAGGAGACTACTTTGTTGGAAGTCCAGTGAGTCTATAGTTCTGCAATTTGAAAACACATGTAAGGAACTGGGGCAGTAACTCAGTGGTAAAGCACTTGTCTAGCACGTGTGAGATGCTGGGTTCGGTCTCAGCACCACATAAAGATAAATAAAATAAAGGCATGTTGTCCATCTACAACCACAAAAAAATTAAAGAAATAAAAAAATAAAATACATGTAAAGATGAAAATGGTAAATAAAGGAAAAGTAGCATGCTAAATAATGAGAATACTAGTTATTAGACAGAAAGAAAGTTTACAAGTAACCAATGCAAAGCCTATGTCAGTAGGTATAAATGTTGGTTTATAGTTTAACAAATTCTAGTTAAATATTTGTTTCTTTCCCTTTCCACTTTCAAGGTTTAAACTGATTGCCTATTAA